CACTTCCGAAACACCTTGCCTTGAAAACTGCAAGGACTCGTCCAGGCAGTCACCACAGAGTCGGTAACGACTGAGTGCGGATAAAAAAAAAAAAAAAACTTATACTGTATTATACAATAATACTATACTGTCTTACATACAAATTCGACTTAAGGACAGACCTTGGGAACAGAACTTGTTCTTAAACTGGGGACTAACTATAACTCCCTAGAAAGAAACTATGTTCATGGAATAACTGCCTCTTCATTCTTTCAAAATGCCATTGTCTCTGTAATCCTGTCACATTACCCCACAGTTATATCCTAATGGCCTCACTGACTTCACTAGGCACAAGATGTGTAATATCCAAAGAAACACCTGATTGCTCTTTCCAATTACATTTGTATTCTAATTTGCATACATCTGTAAAGACTAATTGTAACCCCACCCCTCTTTAGGCTTATCTGCCTCCAGCACTGTCAATAAACCAATTTGTGCTTCAATGCAATGTGTCCTGGTCCCTGGTTCAAACATACCCCTAAAATATTCTACTACGGTTCCAATTCCATCCTGCTGATGTTTAAGAAATTAAGATAATTCAAGAAGCTGCAGTCTTGGCCTCCAGTAAGGTTTTGTCCAGTTTAGATAACTAGGTATATAAAAGGGCATGTAGCAAGGTCAGAAAATGTTTTTAAAAGGAATCATCACTTATTAAACATGTAGATTCTGTATATAATTGTATCTTTATTTTTTATTTGAAAAAAGGGGAAATGTAAGTACTTTTAGAATTTATCACAGGTGGCTGCAGGAGGATAAGGGGAGGGAGTGACAAAATGCATCACAATACAGTACAAACTCTACCCCTTAGTGTGTAACATTTTGTCACTTAGTATCCAAGTAGAATCCCCTTCATGGATCACTGCCTTGTTGTGGCGAAGGGGCCTGCGTAACTCAATGAAGCCATGAGGTGCAGGGCCACCCAAGATGGACAGGTCATGATAATACTGACTGAGCAGCTTGCATACCCAATTTTTGTAAATAAGGTTGAAAATAAGAATACATAATAAACAATACAATGCAGTTTAGCATTAGAGATACATAAATTAAAAGAGCAAGCAGCTCACAGTATTTCCACTCCCAAGGCCTCTGGAAAAAAAATAATGTTGGCTTTTCTAAAATTGGCAGAGTAGGGTCCATCCAGCTCAAAAAGGCCTTCCTCCAAGATCCCTGATAATAGCAATCCCTGAGTGAAGGAAACTTAGGAGAGCCCCTTCTACATGACCTTACTTTTCTCCTTTTCCTAGACCTGTGCCCAACTTCTCCCTTTGTTATATATATTAAAAAAAAAAATCAAACAATTTTGTATCTAGCTGCACAGGAACGGTTTGAGGATAATCTTCCCACCTACCTGATCCCATGCATACCTCACTTGGGAAGATTCTGCTTCAGACGCAATGTGCATTCCGTATCTGGGAAGCAAGCTGCCATTTCTAGTGAATGAACAATTCACTAAATGATGCCACTTTCACTTATTTTTCATGTGTTACCATTTAACACTTTTGGTGGACATTTCAGCCTTTCCAGTCAACAACATGGCAAAATCACAGGTTAATCACAAACTAATTTTATCATTACATATTTACTAAAAGTCTTCTGAGTATTATTCACATAAAACATTTTCCCACAGCAAACTTGCAATTTTTTTTTCACAAACTGCATAATTCATAGCCGTGACTGGATGAGAATGACCATTCATAGAGGCTCAAGCTTTCAAGAGCTTCCAGCCTTGATATTTTGTTCTCTTCTCCTGAATCACAGACAATATATCTTCAGTACAGTATCAGCTTCCAAGAAGCAACAGTGGACAGGGCCATTTCCCTTCTATCCCTATATGAGAGCTTCCTGAACGCACCTAATTGAACACTGTGCGACACTTACTGCTCAATCAGACAGTTCTTTGATTTGATCCAACGTCCCTACGGAAAACATGCTTGGGGCGCTGAGAGGATGGAGTGCGGTAACAAATATCCTAAGGAGCCTCGTGAGTTTTGCTTCGGGACCAAAACCCCACCACGTGCTGCGGTCAGTGCCCCTTGCCCGGCAGTAAGTAAGACGCTCCCGCCTAAGCAGATTCTCGAGACAGATCCACTTACTCGCTCTCCGGGGAAACAGCCGCTGTTCACTCACCCAAAGTAGATCCCAGTAATCTTAAAGGGACTCTGTAAAACCATACCAAGCCCCTTCGCTTGGTCGCGCTTGCAACGTCTCCCCAACGGAAAACTCCCCAACTAAGAAAATGCTGTAAACCCTCGCCGCCCGCCACCCAACCCGCGAGACGCTTCAGAGAAGGCTCCCCGGGAAAGTCTCCTTCACGCTAACCGTCCCGGGCGGCGTCGTGGCGCTTAACCTGCTTGGGAACTTACCTAGAAAAGGTTTCGGGGGCTTCCAGTGGTAAGAAACACCCAACGGCCGGTGAACTGAAGGGGCAAAGCCAAGTTGGCGATCGTCAAGATTCAAACAGAACCCAGCTTTGGGCGGGGCTTTAATAAATAGCGAGAGGAACCCCCAAAAAGAAAAAGCCGCGACTAGGTCGCCGCGCGGCATAGCCTGCCGAGGAGACAAGATGGTGGCTGACTTTTCCGCCCTCGCGCTCTTTTCTCTTCGGCCGGAATGAGATTAGACGTCACATGACGGCGAGGGAACAGGTGACGGGGGCGTCCTCTACGGCTCCGGCGATGGGTCGTCGATCGTCTGCCTCGTGCTCCCCGCGCCCCCGTGGACTGTGCGAAGTGGTGGCCGGGTGATCTCGGGCGAGGAACTTCACCAAGGATTACAGGGAAGTTGGACAAAGACATCGAACTGGAGATTTTCTTCCTCATTTTGATGCCACTTAGTAGGCAAGAGGAAACGTTTATAGATGTCAAGAATGGGATACTTCTGTGCCTTTACTTTCATTAGCGCTGATAATTTTGCTTTGCGCACACTGATGGGGCTACTAATCTGGGCTGCAAAAATCCGGACGACTAGACCGCAGCAAAGCGTTAGAAGTTTCCGACTTTTATGTGCTGTCGTCTAGTCGTCCCGAATTTTGCGGCCCAGATGTAACGGACTTTACTCATTATACTGTAACCATTTTTTCCACTTTTTTTTTTTTCCTCCTAATGCTCATGAACCTAATCCCCTTGCATACATGAAAGCATAATCACAACAGGTAGGGTACCCAATTTTAAAGGAGAATTTGATCTGAGGTTTGATTTTAAGTAAAACCCACATTACTGTTAATGCCTTTATACATATACATACTATAATGAATTTTCAACAGAATGATAGACGTTTCTTAGGGTTCTTGATTTCAAGTGCCGAAGAACTGGTTCCTCAGGAACAACTGAATCTCTTTTATTAACTGGTGCTGTGCCATCAGTACATAAAATTATCACTTTGCAGCGTTACAGTCCTGCACTTCAATATGTATTAATGTCTCTGAATTATTTTCAAAAGACAAATCCCAACTTCAAGATGTTTTCAGGAGCATGGCATTTGGACTGGGTTCACACTTTCTATCAAACCCTATGATCTTATTTCATGTAGAAAGTTCTGAGAACCCATGTTTATAACTTGGTGCAATGTTACCTCGTCAATTGTTTTTGACAAACCATGGCTAAACAGACCATGGCTTACTGTAATACATGAACCCAGCTGTGACATTTGCAATAACATACTTAGTCATGTTAGGCACACTATTACATCCAAAGTTGGATCATGTATTAAATTGCTGAGTACCTTCAGTACAATTTATAACTATGATCTGCTGTCAATTTAGTCACCTAAATGAAATGCTGGTGCTAAATCAATTTAACTTCCATTTCTAACTTAAAGATACAGAAGGCTGGAGCTGCAGTTTGTAACAGTCTCTTCTTTCCTCTTCCTCTACACAATGAGCATCTTGGAGGGAGTGCCATAGGGACAATCAAGGAAGGCAGGGTGGTCTTTCTCCACCCTGATCATTGTTCCAGTTTAATTGTTTTTTATAAAAAATATTTAAAGTGTCAGCTAACCAACCACAAAAGTAGTGGTGATTCCAGCCAAAATAAAAGGCATCCAGCAAATTATGGCTGGCTGTACTGATGTGTAACTGGCTTACCTGTGGTAAATGCCAGACTTGGCTTATAGCATGATACAGGGCCATGTTCTTTGAGCATACCAAGTAGCCATATATTGTATTTTAATTCAATCACCTTTGTTCTGTAACATCTGATAATATTATAATAAACACTATAATAAAGGTTATTAAAAGATATAGTTGGTTGTTTTTATTTCAGAACAATAGTAACATCTTTAAAAAGTAGGGGAGAATCAAGTCAATTGATATGCTGTTTTGAAAATAATTTTAGTTTTATTTTTGTGTATTGCTATAGTATTTGGCAAGAGTCAGATTGGTCTAGTGGTTGAAGTGCTGAACTAGGAGCAGGGAAACCTAAGTTCCAGTGGTGCCTTAGGTATGAAGCCAGCTGGGTGACCTTGGGCCAGTCACTCTCCACCCCAAGAAGTTGGTCCTGGCAAAGCAATTCCGAATATGTTGCCAAGAAAACTGCTTGGGCTTATCCACTTAGTCACCGGGAGTCAAGGCTGAAGGCAGACATACATACAGTATATATATTTAGCTATCAACCTTATATCCTGTCACTACCATTCCTGTGTCGTTATAACTTTTATCTAGAATAAATGAAACTCCCATTAGCTGCAGTATAGCAGTCTTCCACTGTTCTCATTCCTTTCTGTAGCCAATTACTTTCAGAATGTCTGTTTTCTCTTTGCTGAACTTCCCTGTTCTTAATTATCAGAATTATGGAACCAATAGTATGGAGCTCTTAGGTGAGATGGTATGAACAGAAATCACTTCCTCTTTCTTTGGGAAGAAAATTCCCTTTAGTTTAGTCTCTGCCTTCTTGAGAAGATCATATATCCTTTTAGCTCCTCTCTCCTGAGTTGTGCTTAGAAAGAGGACTCCCTCCCTACACCGTGGCTAACTAGCCAAAAAATAGGGCCTAGGCCCAGGAAAGCAGAAGGGGAGTTCCTAAAGTGGCTACCAGGTGGGTCTAGTTCCAGTACTACTCTGGTGGTGCTAAATTCAGCGGTGATAGGCCTAGCATGCAGGAAAGGTGATGCCCTTCCAGTGAATTAAATGTCACCAACAGCACAGCAGGTCTGGAGACCCATGGAAAGCAGCCTGAGTGACCATTTTGCAATGGAATGGTTCAACAAGCAGTGTCCCATCCTGGCAGCAAGGAGCAGCTAGAAAGGTACCACCTATACCAGGCAGAATATTCTAAGCATGACACCTACATGGTAGCTGACCCTCCCACCACCACTGGATATAGTCATATGTCAAAAGTGGGGACGAATGTGGTAGTCTGGAGAGCATGCTCTGCCTTATATGCGCTACATTTTGGCTTGGGGAAAAGTTCCGTAAGACCCAGGAAGCTTGGTTACACCATTAAGAGGATAAAGGGCCGTTGAGGAGAGTACTGTGACCCATTGCACGGCCAGGAAGTAAGTGCAGAGGGGAATGTTGCCCTGCTAGTCTAATTCCTAGTAGAGAAATTGGACAACAGATTGCATTCATGACTGTGATTAACCTAAAAGAAATAAAAAAGGTGAAGGAGGCTCCTGTCAGAACAGAGAAGTACCCCAATTTGTAGTTCAGGATACGCCACCACTGACTCCACCTTGTTTTCCTACAGTTTTCCTCCTCCCCCATCCCCATTACAGGAAGAAGTGGAGCGACAGACATAGAGAAAAGCAAGTTCAAATAACAGCAAATTCTGGGTGAGGGCTTTTGTGGGTGAAGTTGGATTAAGCAGCAGCTTCAGACTTGCTCCACTCATTCAGCGATCAGGAGGGCCTTGATCCCCCCCAGAGTTCACAAAGTATAGAATCAAGGTCTGCATCAGCTATTCAGTCCCTAGGGGCCTGGGAGAGATGTGGGGGAGGTACCTGGAGGGAACATATCTCCAGTAGTATGGACTGTTTAAAGCAAAAATGTATCCAATACTATGGGGCAAAGTGACTAGAGTTCTCAAATTGGAGCAGTCAGTCAGATGATAAGTGCTAGTGCAGAACATAACCCAAGGAATTTTGGAAGTATCTCCAGAGGAAGCGTTCTCCAAGCCAAGTTTCCCATTCCCAAAATTTACCTCCAGTTGGCCAGCAAAGGGTGCCTTGCCTACTCTGGTGAGCAAATTGTATCCCTTCCCAAAAGAGATTAATGTAAATTAGGATTACAGACATTGTAAAAATTATTTGAAAGACATGCTGCCACTATTCATTAAATGAGCCCCAGTTTTTCAGGCTTCTATACAATCCTGAAAAAATGTGCAGTCGCATTAAGATTAATAAGTAGACTCCTTAAAACAGCCACTGGGAATCTCAAGACAAGATGGAGCTGTTTTAAGATACTGCAGACAAACTCTACTTGCTTGTTCTCTCCAAAGCACCCTTTGGAGATTGAATCAGAAGCACTGCACAGCCCTTAAACAAACAAACAAACAGTACTGTGCAAAAGTTTTAGGCAGGTGTGAAAAAATGCTGTAAAGTAAGAATGCTTTCAAAAGTATATATTGTAA